TTAGAAGCAGGGTTCAAGATTCTTTTTAAAGAATTAGAATTGAATTCCATGGGAGTATTCGCTTCTTAAGTTTTTTAAAGTAACACTAGTAATTGTTATTTTCCTATGTTTTGGTAAGCATCTGTTATAAGCAGACATGGATTGTATAACCACAGTTATCAGAACTAACAGAAAATAGCGATAGTTATCAAATGCTCCACCCTCAGTCAAATAGCACGTTTCTTTCAAACATGAACCTGTCCAAGCAATCAACAGTCAGCATTCCATGCAGATTTCACACGGTCCAGGTGTTAGGAAACTGGGCAGTTTTAGCCAGGTGACCACATGGTCCAACCTCTGTTGTCAAGTTCCACCCCCATCCTAACGGGATTCACTGCTCCTGCCCTGCCCGCCCGCCCGGGGGCAAAGTTTTAAAAGGGCCTGTTCCAGAACACGTGCTCTCTTGGCTCTGCTCCCTGCTCTCTGGGCTCTCTTTCGGCTTCTCTCCTGCTCTCTTGGCTTCTCTCTTCCCGCCTGCTCACTCTCTCTAGCCTCCTCTCCTCTCTCACTCCCCCTCTTCTCTTTCTCTCTTACTCTCCTTTTCCCTCTTCGCCCCTTCCCTCCAGCCAGCTGGGTGTTCCCCAATAAACCTTTTCCCTTACTCCGGTGTTTTGTGACGGCTAACCCCAGGCCATTTCGGAATACACGGAAAGTACCGGAATCAGTGAAAATCAGGGAAAAAGCACCGGAATCGGAAAGTCGGTGAGTAGGTAGGCTGAGAGGGCCCAGCGGCTTGTGGGAGATGTAGTTTCGCTCCCCTCTGGCACCTCTCGCACAGGATCCAGGGGCTCTTCCGTTTCCTTCTGCCCAAGTGCTGCCCCGCCCATTCTCGCCATCTTCCTCCTGCAAATTCTGCATCTGCTTTGCTGTCTCCCCTTGGCTCTGCAGGGTGCGGGGCTTGCCCGCATTCCTGATGGTCTGCGAGGGAGTGAAAGAGGGGTTCCGCGGGCCTCGGGGGAGCCTGTGAGCGGGACGGGTGCTCTTCTTGGTGAGAGCAGAAGTTTCGGTGACGGGGCCGCAGGCACTGGTGCGAGCAGGGCACCTGAGCATCTCTGAAAGGCGACACTGAGGTCGGAATTCTGATGTCGTGCTCGGGGAGGGGACTCTCGGGCTGTGTTTCCAGTGGTAGCCTTGTCCGGAGAGCGTGCACAGCCAGACAGCCGGCGTGTGCCTCCACGTGTGCGGGAGCTGCGCCCAGGCGGGAGTGGTGAGCTGGCGAGGACTGTGAGATGTGCTGTGGGAGTGCACCTTTCCGCTCGAGCGCTGATGGAGCCCATCTCTGACCCGTGTGTAAAATGAGCGCATTAATACTGGTGCAAGATCCCCAGGTTCTCAGCCATCAGTGTGGAATGTGTGCAGAGCCAGTGCCACTAGGGAGCAGTTGTATGTGTGGTGTTTCCCGTGTTGCCTCTTCAGCAGGGGCTGCTGGTGGGTCCCTCCTGGGTTACCCGAACAGTGAATTCCACGAAGGAGGTTGTTGGAGTGGGTGATGGTCCCGTTTCTTGTGGAATGAAGTTCTTAAGCTGTCTGAAGAGATCTGTGAACAGCATTGCACTTGAGAGAGTCCCTCTCTGTCCTGAACCCTCTCTCTAGTGCTTCAGTGCAGAGCTAAAAACTGCCAGAAAGATGAGGCTCCTGGCTTTGCCTGGGCTAAGCAATTATTTATCCTACTTCCAGAGTGAGCGAGATGTGAGTGGTGCTCTCTTAGCGCACCCATAAGCTGCTGGAGACAGGGTGATACTGAAAGATTTGCATGAGCTTTCAGCAGGGAGACGTAAGTGAGCTGAGAAGAATATGCAGGAACCTAGAATGTGGTACTCAGAGAGTCTTGAAGCTATAGACTGCAGAGGGATAATCTGTCATCTGTGAGAACATGTGTCTACTCTGCTCCCGTACACACCCCCTTTACCTCTTTCTACTCATTGTTTCCCAGACCAGAGCTCTCTTAGTCCTAGTGTACCACCAGATTTAGTATTTAGAGATACACCGGTGCTCCTTCTGACCTGACAGTTCTTCCTGGTAGCTCAGGAATGATTTTCCAGGGTCCTTTTACTTGAAAAGAAGCAAACTGAACTTCAGGGAATAAATCAGTTGCCTGGGTTCACGTGATTTGTAGATATCAGGCATCCTGACTTTTGATGTTTTTAACATCAATTTTAGTGACTGTAGTCAATGTAGAACAAACACCATTTTAGAAGACTATACTATAAACATGCCTATCATTTCCTCCCCAGGCACTTTCTGCAGATTTTGTGAGCCAAAAGGTTTGAAATACATATTATATTCCCACTTTATATCAGTAGTCTTTTCTTGAGTACTGTAAATGCTACAACAAATTATAGTGAACTCATTTCTAATTCATGAAAATGGGAAAATTGAAGTAGGGGTTGTGGTACAGCAGAGTAAGTGCATTGAATGCCTTCATCCCATATGGGAGTTCTGATGTGATTACTAGCATCTGAGCTTCTGGACCGGCTTCTTGCTAGTTTCTGGGAAGGCAGCTGATGCCAGTCCAAATAATTAAGTCCTTGCTACCCATATGTGAAACCCAAATGAAGTTTTGGGTGCTTGTCCTTGGTCTGGCCCATCCCCAGCTTTGGAAGTGAACTGGCATATGGAGGATCTCTGTCTCTCTGTCACTTTGCCTTTCAAATAAATAAGCCTTTAAAAATAAAATGGAAAAGTTATAATGAATTATACCTTCCCTGCTAACAAAAAAAAATTTTTTTTTTTTGACAGGCAGAGTTAGTGAGAGAGAGAGAGACAGAGAGAAAGGTCTTCCTTCCATTGGTTCACCCCCAAGTGGCCACTATGGCCGGAGCGCTGCGCCGATCCGAAGCCAGGAGCCAGGTGCTTCCTCCTGGTCTCCCATGCGGATGCAGGGCTCAAGCACTTGGGCCATCCTCCACTGCCTTCCTGGGCCACAGCAGAGAGCTGTACTGGAAGAGGAGCAACCGGGACAGAATCCGGCGCCCCAACTGGGACTAGAACCCGGGGTACTGGCGCAGGCGGGGGATTAGCCTAGTGAGCTGCTACACTGGCCTCAAATTTCTTATAAATAAGACATATGAAGGGCTGGTGTTGTAAGTTGGCTGGTTAAGGTGCCGCATATAATGCCAGCATCGCATGTGGGTACTGATTCAAGTCCCAACTATTCCACCTCTCCAGCTTCCTGCTAATGCAACTGGGAGAGCAGCACAACAAGACCCAAGTGTTTGGGCACAAATGTGGTTGACCGGGATGAAGCTCTACACTCCCTGGCTTCAGCCTGGCCCATCCCTAGCTTTTTTTTTTTTTTTTTTTTTTTTTTTTTTTTTTTTTAAGGTTTAGTTTATTTATTTGATTTGACAGAGTTACAGTGTAGAGACAGGGAGAGAGAGGTCTTCCATCTGCTGGTTCACTTCCCCAATGGCCGCAATGGCTGGAGCTGGGCCGATCTGAAGCCAGGAGCCAGGAGCTTCTTCTGGATCTCCTATATGGGTGCAGGGGCCCAACCACTTGGGCCATCTTACTACTGCTTTCCCAGGCCATAGGAGGGTGCTGGATCGGAAGAGGAGCAGCCGGGACTTGAACCAGCGCCCATATGGGATGCTGGCGCTTTAGGCCAGGGCTTTAATCTGCTGCACCACAGCACCAGCCCCCATGTCTGTCTTTTGCAGCCACTGGAGTGTTAACTGGTGGATGGAAAATCTCCCTCTGTCTCTCCTCTCTGTGTAACTGCCTTTAAATAAATAAATGAATCTTAAAAAAAACTACAGTGCCCACATACAAGTAAAATTTTAAAACATAGTCTTATGATCTCCAGTTTCTTTGTGTAATTCCCATAGTCTCTCAGAGTGCCAGCAGGAGATCCATCTGGTTTACATTTATAGGGTCTATGAAAACGACATTTGATATGAAGCTTTGTTGGCTCTCTGATATGGGATGCAGGGATCCCAAGTGACGTCTTAACTGGTACACCACATGCCCATACTTATTTGTGATTCTGAGTTAGCATCTTGGGCTCAGCTGGGCAGTTCCTGTGCCAGTGTTCATGGCAAAGGCACAGATCAGGCATCTGTTGACTGAGGCTGATTACTTGAGGATGACTTCATTCACATAAGTATCTGGTGCATTATGTCAGCTTTTAGCTAGGCCCTGTGTCTTCAATAAGCTGCTAACAAAGATAACAGTACTTTTTTTTTTTTAAAGATTTATTTATTTATTTGAAAGAGTTACACAGAGAGGAGAGGCAGAGAGAGAGGTCCTCCATCCAATGGTTCACTCCCCAATTGGCCACAACGACCAGAGCTGTGCTGATCCGAAGCCAGGAGCCAGGGGCTTCTTCTGGGTTTCCCACATGGGTGCAGGGGCCCAAGGACTTCGGCCATCTTCTACTGCTTTCCCAGGCCATAGCAGAGAGCTGAATAGGAAGTGGAGCAGCTGGGACTTGAACTGGCAGCCATATGGGATGCCAGAGCTTCAGGCCAGGGTGTTAACCCGTTGCACCACAGGGCCGGCCTCAGATAACAGTACTTTAAGAAGGCAAACTCCAGTAGACAAATACTTTTTAAAACTGTGTATCACATTTACTGATGTTGCATTACTGATGTCTGGTTGCAAGTTAGGAGACAAAGCCAAGGGTCATTATGTGGAGGGACTACTCAGAGGTGGGGAATGTGTGGCCTGTGAAGTCACTTGGTCTGGCCCTGCCGAGGCAACTATAGGCAGGACTTGAAAATCAGTAGTTCTACAGCACGTTAATTTTAAGTTGATAATTATGTGTGTTCTGCACATGATGCTCTAAATATCGATAGCCCTTGACAGAAAAAAAAAATGTTCCCCACCCCTGGACAAGGAGATGTGTCATTTGGAACCATTACTGGAAGAGTATACTACAGTAAATAAATATTATGTGTACCTTTTCTATGCATTTCTGAAAATGCGATGTTAACAAGATGCATGCTTTTTATGAAATTTAGGTATTTTAAAGAAAGAGATATCTAGTGGTGACACTAATAAGGAGTCTCATGTGGTACATCTACAGAAATAAGAAAATAGTTAATACCAGCCATGTATTTTTCTACAAGGTAAATTTTTTGTCAGTATAATGTTTTATCCTTTAATTTGAATAGCCATCCTTAAAATTTTAGATGATTTCTTAGTAAAATTAATTTTTACAAAATCAATAGCAAATGTTTTCATGCAGCTAATGATAATCAGGTGTTTTATTTCTACCAGTTAGTAGAACTGTGCATGCTCTTTAAATGAACTCTTTCTTGCTCTTTCTCATATGTAAAGTAGTATTTCCCAGCAGAGGGTGCTTTTTGTGTTTTTTTTCCCCAGCTAGTACATCCGTTTTGACTTCTGTCATCATCATGCTTTTCACAATGGAATCTAGGAGCAAGCCAGGGCATTTCTTTCACAATCTCCTCCATTTATCTTCTTTTCCAGATAAAATTCTCGAGTTCTGTCCATGTTTTCAAAAACAACAAAATGAATACATCTCCAGTAAGTCAGTATTTATCCCTCACCTTGTTTTATACTGTATTTTATATGCTCTATGAGTGTTCATTAATGAGAATGGAAAAGTAGAAATAAAATACTGCATCAGAGAGATATAAAGAAAGTTGAAATGGTTCTAAGCCTTAGGACCATCTCAATTAGGTACAGATTGGTCTCTGATCTTTCTGATAGTATGGGAAAAGACAAATTTGCTGTGTGATTCAAACTGACCCTAAAAAGAGAGCATGATAAATTTTCATGGGCTATGAAGTGTCCTTGTTGGTCACATAGATGGTGTAGTGGGCAGTGTTTTATTATCAACCTGGAAATAAACACTGCATCCTTCAGTGATAATGGTTACAAACTGCTAAAACACAAGTCAGTTAATAAAGTTTCTATGAACTTGCTAAAACGATTTGGTTTTGGATAGCTTTTGGATAGAATCAGTAATGTATGGAGGAGAGAGTCTACTGACCTTAACTTACTTTCCATACATTTCTCTCAGCTTCTCTGTGTATGCAGTTGGTCCCACAGATGGTCAGAAATTATATCTATCTCTCTATCTCTCATGCAAATTGTTCCATTTGCCTGGGCAGTGTAGTCTTTTTTTTTTTTTTTTTTTACAGGCAGACTTAGACAGTGAGAGAGAGAGGCAGAGAGAAAGGTCTTCCTTCCGTTGGTTCATCCCCCCAAATGACCACTACGGCCAGCACTGTGCCGATCCGAAGACCGGAGCCAGGTGCTTCCTCCTGGTATCCCATGTGGGTGCAGGGCTCAAGCACTTGCGCCATCCTCCACTGCACTCCCGGGCCACAGCAGAGAGCTGGACTGGAAGAGGAGCAACCGGGACAGAACCCAGTGCCCCAACCGGCACTAGAACCTGGGGTACCGGCGCTGCAGGTGGAGGATTAGCCTAGGGAGCTGTGGTGCTGGCCTTGGGCAGTATAGTCTTAATTCAGCACTACAAAAGTTTACTGATAACTTCATTAGAATCCTCTAGCCTTTACACTACTTGAATCTTCTATGTTTGTAACTACTGTAAATGAGTAGTTATGTATGGGAGTTCTAACCCTGATGATTTCTTTTCCATGAATTCCTCTACATCTCTTCTCTTTAATACAGTTTATCCAGGTATTCCATCTGGTCCCCTGTTCATCCCACTCTGCAGTTCTCCTTGGCTGATTGGGCCCTCTGGTTTGATGCATTCTAAGTACTGGCACAAATACAACGTGCAGCGTGAGATGAAGTTGATTCAAAAGGTGAGGAAAACACACACACATGGCATTGTTCAGGGAGAGTGGACCAGGATGGGAAAAGAGAGAGAGAATTCCATACCCTGTTACTCTGGATCCACATGAAGAGAGAGTGCACGCGAGCACATGCATGTACACCCTCTCCTCTTTGCCAGACTTCTTATGAGCTTAGAAAGGATAGTGGTTACATGGTGTCACCCCCAGGTCCCAGGTATATCCTGGGGAAGGGCTCATTTGATTGTCAGGTGGGCAGATAGAATGAAATCGGAAGGGGAAGTGTGGCTTCCAGTTCCTGACCCTAGTCTAGCTGCTTGCCTTATCCTGTATCACATGTGTACTTGTTCCTTGGCTTCTAGATCACATGTTCAACACCCTTTTGAACCCAGTACTATGGGTTGTGAACACCTTATCAAGTCTCTTTGCTGCTGGTTTAAATACCTGTCCTGACACATTATTATTTTTTTTCAAAGGTTTTATTTATTCATTTAAGAGATAGAGCTACAGACAGAGAGGGGAAGAGATAGAGAGGTCTTCCATCTGCTGGTTCACTCCGCAAATGACCGCACCAGCCGGAACTGAGCCAAACCGAAGCTAGGAGCCAGGAGCTTCCTTTAGGTCTCCCACACTGGTGCAGGGACCCAAGCACTTGGGGCATCTTCGGCTGTTTTCCCAGGCCAGAGGCAGTGTAGGGATTGGAGTCCCTGTGCCAGTCTCTCTTCTGTACTCTGGCTGCTTGCTTGCCTGCTATGCCCTGGAATTTATGACCTCCTGTCCTCCAGCAGCTCCCCTGGGATTTATGGCCTGATGCTTCCCGCCAGTTCTTCCCTGTGCCATCTCCTTTGTGTGGCCTTCCCGCCACATAATGTATATAGTCTTTACGTTTAAATGAACCAATGAACATGTTAGGTCCCAATACCTTGCCATATAGAGAGTAAGAAGGGAACCTACGTAGGAGATGACCTGCACCCTTATAAGTGTGAGGCTATAAAAACCTCTCTTATGCAAACGAGAGGGCCTTTGCCTGTGCACTGCTGAAAGGCTGTGTTCCCAGCAGGCTGGTAACAAATAAACCTCTGCTTTTGCATCCGCGACTGTGCCTTGTGCATTGATTGGGAAATTTGACTCAACAGCAGAGAACTGGATTCCAAAGAAGAGCAGCCAGCTGGTTTTGCAGGTGGAGGTCTAGCCTACCATGTCACAGTGCTGGCCCTGTGACACATTATTTTAAACACATCATCTGTTTATGTGTTTAAAAATATTTAGAGATAGCTTAGCCATGTTGTCTGCTACCTAAAACATATACGTTAACTTTTTTTTTTAATCTAGTGTTTTTTTTTTCCCTTTGAGTGTGAGTCATGTTGTTCTCTTTTTACATATGCAATGTTTGTTAATTCTCTCCAGCATATTATAAATCGCATGTTGCACAGAGTGTGGCTGTTTGTTTTTTTTCTCAGAAGAGTGATTTTGGTTCTAGAAGATAACAGGCTAGATTAAACTTTCAAACTGTATTCTGTTAGGTGTTGCCTAAAATCTCCATTACAATATGGTGCCTAGCTGATGTTTGAGGTGTGTGTTTGCAGCTGCCGTGGTTAAGCTACGTAAGATCAGACCGCTGGCAGGGATAGGTCTGCTTTAGTTCCGGACACATGGACAGTGCATGATCCCTATACTTTACTTAAGGTGCCCCTGTGCGTGGTCCACCCGTGCCTGTGTGACCTTTTCTCTGATTGGCGCCCCTACTGCGCATGTCCTTCATAAGCTTTAAAAGCCTGTACGCTTCCTCAGTAGAGCGGTTCCCGCTTTGACAGAACTCATGGGTGCTTGCTGTGGTGTGCTTGACCCGTCGACCTTACCTTTCCCGTTTGCCTTGTTGGGGAGTGTCTGTACTGGCCCCTGCTGGTCAGGGGCCAGCCTTGGACTTGAGACTCCCACAGTATTCCATGCAGTGATCCTTGGTCAGTTTGTCACTTTGCAGCTTCCATTAGCTGCTTTGTCATTGGTCCCTCTGAGGTTTCCCACACCTGTTAGTAGTCAGTTCAGGGTTTTGCTGGGTTTCATATGCAGATTGAATCTCTTAGATTCTTTTGTTTTCCTCTTCAACACTCCTCCTCCAGTTTCTGTTGTTAGTTTATGCTCTGACAACTTGAGCCAGTAGAGATGCAGCTTTTACTTCTTTGATCTGTGTTCAAAATAGGGGATGTCCTCTGCTACAATGCCAAAAATTTATGTTTAGCCTTTTATTCTGATTTCTTTCTAGGTTTTCAGATGGTGGTACTATAAATTTTGTTCATATTTCAAACATTTTTTTTCTTTTAGAGGGTTCATCTGATCAAATACTTTGTCATTACCTTAGTATATTCATGGTTATATTATAAAATTTTTCTTCTTAATCTCTCATATTCTTATCCATAGTTTTTTACCATGGAATATTACTTCACATTTCTTCAGTCTTATTTTTCAACCGTAAAAGTAGTTTTTCTTCTATAGGAGTTAAAACAGAAACAAGTAAATTATGGCTTGCATTCCAGATTTAACTAACTTCCTGTTTTTATATGGCCTATCAGAATTTTTTGTTATTGTAACTTTTTAATGGTTGTTTTATGGTTCCCAGTATTCATCTTTACTTATGATCTACCTTCAAGTAGTACTGTACCTATTCATGTAAAATAATAACTTAGTAGTAGTCTACTTCTATTTATCTGTTTCCAACTTCCATACCATGATTGTCATACCTTTCAATATTGTTGCTGTCTGGATTCAAACACCCAGTGATTTTTTTTAAAGAGACTGAAAATAAGAGAAAAATAAGTTCACTCTCACAGTTATCCACTTCTGGTTTTCGTATGTACTTTACTCATATTTTTATTTGCTTATTCTATTTTTTTTTTAGATTTAAATTTTTAAAAAAAAATTTCTGTATTTTTTTTTGCTATTTGATCATGGTATGCTTTGGTATAATTGTCTTTTTCTTCTACTTGAGGTTCAGATGTTCCAATTTAGATGTCCGCAAGTCATGATTCTTCTGGTACTAGCAGCAAGTTTCGGTTCAGTAATTCCTGAGAGAATTAACGTAGAAAAGTCTTTGTATTCACAATTACAGTGTATTTCTGTGAAAGAATTCACTGAAATCAGCCTGGGGATGAGTTGCATAGGGCAGGACCTTTGAGTTATCCAGCACCAGCTTCCAGCTGTTTTAGTTCAGTGTAGTCCTGTTGACATTACCTGTTTGTCCCAACAATGTATGACAATATCTGCAGAATACTGACAGAGAATCTCATCTGAGCCTGATTTCAGAGCTTTTACTGGGGTCTGGCCAGACAGATATTGCTGACCATAATGTGAGTGCCTTAGTCTCCAGCACATGCAGTGATTATGTTAATACCACATAGCTTGGCTGGCGCCGCGGCTCAACAGGCTAATCCTCCGCCTAGCGGCGCTGGCACACCGGGTTCTAGTCCCGGTTGGGGCTCCGGATTCTGTCCTGGTTGCCCCTCTTCCAGGCCAGCTCTCTGCTGTGGCCCGGGAGAGTGAACAGTGAGAGAGAGACAGAGAGAAAGGTCTTCCTTTACCGTTGGTTCACCCCTCAAGTGGCCGCTGCGGCCGGCGCACCGCGCTGATCTGAAACCAGAAGCCAGGTGCTTCTCCTGGTCTCCCATGGGGTGCAGGGCCCAAGCACTTGGACCATCCTCCACTGCACTCCTGGGCCATAGTAGAGAGCTGGACTGGAAGAGGGGCAACCAGGACAGAATCCGGCGCCCCAACTGGGACTAGAAACTGGTGTGCCGGCGCCGCTAGGCGGAGGATTAGCCTGTTGAGCCGTGGCGCTGGCCTTCATGCTTTTAAAGATGGATGTTTGGAAAGCCCTATTTTCCCCTTAGGATACTGATTATTTCCATAATTTTTTCTTAGGATTACTAATTCCTATTAGCTAATTGTTCTAAATGTAAACTTTTTGTGATGTGACATGTGATTTTCTTTTGACTTCGTTTTGTGTTTGTTTATGGCATAAGAAGCTTTTAGTTATATATTCAGATTTTTTCATATTATGAACTTTTTTTTATTTAAAATATGCAAATTTCATGTATTTCACATATACACATTTAGGAATACTTCCTACCCTCCCCTCCCCCCTGCCATGCTCCCACCCTTCTTCCTCCTCCCTCTCCTATTCCGACTTTTAATTTTTACAAATATCTATTTTCAGTTTACTTTGTGCTCATAAGATTAACCCTAGGGCCAGTACTGCAGCTCAATAGGGTAATCCTCGGCCTGCAGCACCGGCACACCGGGTTCTAGTCTTGGTCAGGGCGCCGGAGTCTGTCCCGGTCACTCCTCTTCCTGTTCAGCTCTCTGCTGTGTCCCGGGAGTGCAGTGGAGGATGGCCCCAGGTCCTTGGGCCCTGCGCTCGCATGGGAGACCAAGAGAAGCACCTGGCTACTGGCTTCAGATCAGCGTGGTGCGCCAGCCACAGCGGCCATTGGGGAGTGAACCAATGGTAAAGGAAGACATTTCTCTCTGTCTCTCTCTCTCACTGTCCACTCTGCCTGTCAAAAATAAATAAATAAATAAAAATAAAAAAAGATTAACCCTACAACAAGAGTTCAACAAATAGTATGAAGAAAATCACTCTTCCTCAACAGTAGAGACAAGGACTAAACAATCATCAAATCTCAAAATGTCAATTTCATTCTAATACATTACATTTTAGATTCTTTTCTTAGTTGCCACAGATCAGGGAAAATACATGGTATTTGTGTTTTTGGGACTGGCTTATTTCACTAAGTATAGTGGTTTCCAGTTGAATCCATTTTGTTGCAAAAGAACAAATTTCTTTTTTTTAAAACCACTGAATAGTATACCATAGTGTGTAGGTAACTAATTTCTTTATCCAGTCATCAGCTGATGGACATCTGGGTTGATTCCATATCTTAGCTATTGTGAATTGAGCTGCAATGAACATGGGGTATGGAGAACTTTCATATGCTGATTTCATTTCCCTTGGATAAATTCCCAGGAGTGGGATGGCTGGGTCATATGGTAGATCGAGTTTCATCTTTCTGAGTTATCTCCTTACTGTCTTCCACAGTGACTGCACCACTTCTGGGTATCGAATGGTGTTAAAATGGTGTTCCCTAACATTAAAGTATAACCAAACCACTCCATGTAGCTTTCCAATTATTATGTACTTTGTCTATACTATGAATTTAATATTAACTTTATTCTGCCTGTCTAGTTTTTCAGTACATTTATGGAAAAGTCCATGGATCCACCCTACAGACTTGTAATTCTTTCTCCCTACTAAGATCATCTTCTCTTATTAATGTTCCTTTTCTGTATTTCTCAGGAGATTTGAGGTTGTGAGTGAGAATATACTTTAGTAACAAACCCCAACCTCTATGGGCCATCAAATGTACCTGATCTCAGGCTGATGGAATGGCCTTTGCTAGAACATTGCTGGTTATTGTGACTGCAGTAAAAAGAGGGTATGAGCCAAATGTGAGCCCTTCTTTGAAGTGACACAGATCACTACTGTGGACATTTGGCTAGTCATCTGTCTTGCCTAAGATTTTCTGGGATGAGTGGGGATATGTGATTCTCTCACAAGAAATAGCACTGAAAGTGAGTGGGCAGTGGTTTCATAGTGGAATTCCCCTCCTCCCACGTGTATCTCAAGTTGATCCCACACTGCATATCTTAAGGTCCTCTCTATTCATCTATTGCTTCTCTTGGTCTAAGGCTAGTGAGCTAAGATGACAAGTGATTCACCTTTTCTGTATGCAGTGTGTAATGTAGTAGGATAGGGCATAAGTAGGACAATCACAGTAAGCCTTCTATTTGAAAAGTGATGCAGCGGGTGGAGCCAGGTGCTCATGTCATGACATTGGTGTGATCTTGAAATCCTGGATGTATAGGTTGTCTGTGACCTCTAACTTTAGGATGAGTCACAAGTTCTTTGATGTGGCCTTGATTCTGCAACCTGGTTTCCCCTTAATGGTTTGCTTTCTAAGGCAGTGTCCTCTGCCCTCTGAAATATCCTCACTTTCCCGTCGTTCACATTGGACTCATTGGCAAAGACCTGCTCTTTGAGGCATTCTTCTGATCCATATTTTTAAACAGCAGCTGCATATTAAACTGTCAGTCCTTTTTAGGTCTGTTTTGGTGCCTTGGTAGTATGACTCTGAAAAATCTTAGAGTTATGTCCTTTTGAGAACATCTTCCAAATACTGGTTCACCCCCAGATGCTCACAACAACTGAGGCTCAGCCAGAACTCAACCTCAGTCCCCAACATGAGTGTCAAGGGCACTAATAGTGGAGCCATAATTGCTGCCTGGCATGGTATGCATTGTCAGGAAACTGGAATTGTAAGCAGAGCTGGGATCTGAATCCAGGCACTGCAGTTTGGGATTTGTTCATCCCAAGTGCCACCTTAACCACTGCACCAAGTACCCACCCCCGAGTTACATCTTTATGATTCCAGCTTGCTCTAGGTTTTTTGTCACATGACTTTTATCTGTTTTTCCCTTTATGTTAAGTACTTTTTTCAGATCATGTGTTTTGTTTAAGAATACCTCATCTTTATCTTTTCTGTAGGTCATTTTGAGCAATTGAAATAAGTTATTGGGGGACAAATTAATCCATACACAGGTATTAACAGTGGTTTTCATGATCATAACCTTCATTTGTTAGTTATTTTGGGGTTGAATGTTAGCTGATTTTGTTTCCCAAAGTATTTCCCATTGTGTTTTTTTTTTTCTGTAAGAACTAGAGGATAACAACCTTGTTATCTTTAAGCAGTGAAAGATAAAGCAAGAAATACTTTGAGATTTCTAACTGTACTTCACCCTAAATTTCTCATATCTCCCAATTCTGTGTCCCTCTTTTTTTCTTTTTTCAAATTCTTTTGAAAGACAGCTCTTATCTGCTGGGTCACATTCCAGATGACCACACAACTAGGGTTGGGCTAGGGAGAAAGCCAGGAGTGGTACTCAATCCAGATCTTCTGGATTGGTCACAGGGACCCAATTACTTGCAGCATCACTGTTCCCGTCAGGCTCTACGTTAGCAAGAAGCTGGAGTCAGGAGCCAGAGGTGGGAATTGGCACTCCCATGTCTTAATTACTAAGATGAATGCCTGTTCCTCTTCCCCCTTTTTGTTTGTAAACTGCCTTTCTTTTTCATTAGTTCAGCATGCTTTATCAAATTCAGTGAATAATAACCAAGATACATTACTGTTTCCAGCCTCTTTTTCTTTTCTTTTTTTTAAGATTATTTATTATTTATTTGAAAGTAAGAGTTACACAGAGAGTGGAGAGGCAGAGATAGAGAGAAGTCTTCCATCCGATGGTTGACTCCCCAGTTGGCTGCAGTGGCTGGAGCTGCGCCTATCTAAAGGCAGGAGCCAGGAGCTTCTTCCGGGTCTCCCACATGGGTGCAGGGGCCCAAGCACTTGGGCCATCTTCTACTGCTTTCCCAGGCCATAGCAGAGAGCTGGATCAGAAGAGGAGCAGCTGGGACTCGAACCAGCACCCATATGGGGTGATAGCACTGCAAACTGGGACTTTAACCTGCTGCGCTACAGCGCCGGCCCCATCCAGGCTCTTTTTCTAAAGCCTTAAGTGCATGAGATGACCATTATTTGACATAATAAGTAATATTTGGCTTACATAGTTACATTTCCCATAGTGAGTTATCATTATTTGCAAGCCATAGGGTTTCAAAGGTTCCTGGAGTGGCAGGCATTTGGCCAAGTGTTTAAGATACCTGTACTCCACATCGGAGTACCTGAATTGGAGTCCAGCTCTACTCTATGTTCTTGTGACCTAATGCTGATGTGTTGAATTGGAATATGTTGTCACAGGTATTGTTGTCATTTGAGGATGTGGCTGTGTACTTCACCTGGGAGGAGTGGCAGAAACTGGATAATACTCAGAGGACCCTGTACAGGGATGTGATGCTGGAGATCTATAGCAACCTGCTGTCTTTGGGTGAGCAAAATTCCCCAGTAACTCTCAATCAGGACAGTTTATTTTTTGACAAAGGAATGAACCTTTTTTTAAATTACTTTTATTTTATACTTAAACATTTATTTATTTGAAAGACTGAGTAACAGAGAGGGAGAGACAGAAACACAGGGAGAGTGAGAGCAAGATGCTTCATCCACTGGTTTACTCTCTGAATGGCTGCAGTGGCCAGGGCTGGGCCAGGCTGCATCCAGAAGCCAGGAGCTCCATCCAGGTCTCCCACGTGGGTGGAGGGGCCCAAGGACTTGAGCCATCTTCAGTTGCTTTCCTGTGTGCATTAGCAGTGAGTGGGATCATAAGTGGAGCAACCAGGACTCAAACTGGCGCTCATGTGATGTCAGCACTGCAGACATCAGCTTTACCCACTACACCACAGCACTGGCCCCAGGAATGAACATTTTATAAGGTTTACTGCTCTTGGGGCTGGCACTGTGGCGTATTAGGTAAAGCCACTGTCTGCGGTGCCGGCATCCCGTATGGGTACTGGTTCCAGTCCTAGCTGCTCCACTTCCAATCTAGCTCTCTGCTAATGGCTTGGGAAAGCGGTAGAAGGTGGCTCAAGTCCTTGGGCCTCTGCACCTGTGTGGGAGACCCAGAAGAAGCTCCTGGCTTCATATCGGCACAGCTCCAGCCATCTGGGGAGTGAACCAGCAGATGGAAGACCTCTCTCTACACCACCCCCTCTGCCTCTGCCTCTCTGTAACTCTGCTTTTCAAATAAATAAATAAATCTTTAAAAAAAAAAAAAAAAGCAAGGTTTACTGCTCTCTATGTGTTGATTCCAGGCTGTGAAGGATACAACTATAAATACCTCAGTAAAAGATTCATATAACCTCTTTCATTGTACTGCTCCTGAAACCAAACTGTTGTCATTCTTCAAAAGACCTGCTGAGCACTTTAGCAAAGTCTGACATTTTTTCCCATTAACAGGGTACTACCTTACCAAACCTGAGGTGATCTCTAAGTTGGAGCAAGGAGCTGAGCCATGGAACACAGAAGAATCCCCAAACCAGAGCCTCCCAGGTCAGTTAGTGCAACACTGGGCAGGGGATGAGGGGATGTGGGACAAGGGCAGCTTCAGCAAATTTTGGCCATGTGGAGCTGTTTTCACTCAAGCTCTGGTCCTGAGAGCAGCTGGTGTCAGGCATCACACACACGCTCTGCAGTCTCCAGAGAGAGCTGCGATTTGTTCATCCGTCTTTGTCTTCTAGTTTGGTTGCTGATGAATATTTTTAGCCTCACCAAAAATCCAGTGCATAAACTTTTTTTCTTTGGTAGATTCATTATCTAACTTGGTTGTCCTTTTCTCCGTGTGTGTACCTTGTTCCCCTTCAGGTTTGTATTCATGCTTGCATTCTTTTACTGCTTGTTAATGGGTCAGCTGATGGGCAGTGCTCGTTTTAGTGATAGGGAAGGCTGTAGTAATGAAACGAATATGTCGTCTTTTACAGAACTTTTATTCTCTTTAAAGCAAAAACCTGAACAGGTATATTTTGTCATGAGAAATGAGGTAAGAGCCATGAAGGATGTTTTTCTAGAATGAGAAAATGAACAAAATGGGGTCTGTTCTAAGACTGTTCCTCAGGAAAGGCAGCTTTATAGGGAGATGCTACTTATTTTGGGTTACTTGCATTTTTTGATGACAGGTTTCCAAACTTGCCATGTAAGTACATATGAGGTATAAGTGCTAGAATAGACAGTGTACATCCCACTTTGAAATAAAATTTGCAGATCATTGCTTGAAGTTTGCATTTAAAGTAATACAGAGAAAGTTTCCTCGGAAATGGGTGTGCAATTGAAAAAAGAGGGCCAAGGATCAAGCCTTGTTTACCATGACATCAGAAATTGTGGGGCCAGTCGAGACCCAGCATAAGAACCCTGAAAGGACTCTTCCTGGAGTTGGCAGGGGAAACACGAGACGCTGGGTTCGCAAGGCCTGATGAACCAAACATTTCCTTTTGAAGGGCTCATCCTTGGTTTTGGTGGAGTTTGAAGTCAGCATTATCTGTTTCTCTTTTTAAAATCCTTCAAAAACTAAGATACAAGAAATGTATTTTGAGACATGATTCTCTGTGGGAGGAGAGAACTGAAACTCCAACAGAGTAAACAGTGTCCTGCAGCAGTGAATTATAAATAAGGGAATGTATGTATCAGGAAATGAAGGGGAAATGCCAGAGGTTTTGATCTTCAAAGTAGTCAGAAAACCATGGTTCAAAGATGTTTTGCCCTGCCTCATGGCAGAACCAAATCCTTTAGAACAGAATAGAGTTGGAGCCCAGAATCGCTGATAAAAGCTTTTTCTGTGCCCATTAAGGTTCTGAGAAGCAAAAAAAAAAAAAAAAAAAGTTAACTTAGGAATATGGAAGAAGCTGTCTTCATCTAGTTTGGGGAAGAGATTATATATTTATATTTGAAAAACCTCACAGCTTCCATAGTCATTCCACTGGGAGGACTCTTAACTTGACCAACACAGGTACAAATTTTGGTTTTAAACCATGTTCCCGCTTGGACAGATAAGTGAGCCTGTCCTGTAGGTGCATGTACAGCTCCAAGACAGCTTTGCCACCTTCAACAATAAACAAAAACGTAGAAGCAAAAAAAATATATACACACAGTTATTATAAGAAAAGAGAACAGGAAAAACAAAAGATGAAAGAACATCTCTCAGCTTAATACTATGCCTAGGCAGTAGGTAAATGTTTTAACTGAACCCTTACTTTGTAGTAAAAGAAACCCTTAGATATAGCATTGAAAAGAATTATGATTTAACAGTATAAAATCTGTTACTGTAATTAATTCTTTTCATTCACTGTAGAGAAAATTACGTATTTATGATTTTTTAATATTTTTAAATATTATGTCACCAGTAAGAGAAGAAACTTCTTAACATTTAGAAGAAATGCTTAGTTGTGATTTGTGGATGTGGTTATTTTTTCTCATTTCAGTTGTCCAAAGAATGGATGACCTGCCTGGATTGAGGAAGCAAAGTCAAGACAGACATTTGTGGCAAGGTGTAGTCACAAACAGCAATTCAGCAATGAAGGAGGGATTTGAATTAAGAAAAATATTTAATTTAAGCTCAAATCATATTTCAAAACCTACGAAGTACAGAAAATATTCAGGAATGAGGTCTGAGGCATTAAAGGTGTATCAGAAGGTGCTTTTCCCTGGCAAGCCTGATGAGCTGCATATTTCAGAGAAACCTGAAGCCCAAGATTTAACTGAGAAATCTTTACTCAGATGCTGTGAGAACCTCAGTCAGCATCACAAGGATCAAACTTTGCAGCAGTCTTTGGAATATAATGGGCAGTGGAAAGCCTTCAGCAGGGACGCACTGTTTCCACAAAAGAGGGCACATATGAGAGAGACCCCATGTAAACATAAATATGGGAAAGCCTGTGACAAGTCATCTCTCATTGTTGGAGAAACAGCTCAGATAGCAAAGAACCTTCTCAGCAGAAATTCTAACCTTGCTAGCCATCAGCAAATGTGCATAGGTGAGAAGCCGTATGAATGTAAAGGATGCCAGAAAACTTTCTCCTGTAAGTCATACCTCATTCAACATCAGAATTCTCACACAGGTGAGAAAGCATTTGAATGTAAAAGATGTACAAAATCCTACTACTACAAGTGTCAACTTGCTCTGCACCAGAAAATCCACATGGTAGAAAAACCTTATGAATGTAATGAATGTGGCAAAGCCTATTTTCAGAAGGCAGCCCTCAGTGTACACTTGATAACTCACACAGGAGAACGACCCTTTGAATGCAGTTTTTGTGGGAATACCTTCTCCAGGCAGTCAAGCCTGAGGAAACATGAAAAACTTCATACAGGGGAAAAACCTCATACATGTGGAAAGACTTTGTGCATGAATGGAGACCTCACAACGCAGCAGAGAACTCTCACAAGAGAACATCCTTATAAATGTAATGAATGTGGAAAAGCTTTCTCCAAGAAGGGGGGCCTCACTTTCCATCAGAGAACACACACAGGGGAACAGCCTTACAAATGTGATGGATGTGGGAAAACCTTCTCCAGAAAGGGAGACCTCAGTTTACATAAGAGAACTCACACAGGGGAAAAAGCTTATGTGTGTAGTTCCTGTAAAAAGCCCTTTTACCGGAAGTCCCACCTCATAATACATCAGCGAACTCACTACAGGGGAAAGACCTTATGCATGTAGCACGTGTGGATTAGCCTTTTACCGGAAGACAGACCTCATTAAGCATCAAAGAGTCCAAAAGGGGAGAAATCATTATGAATGTAATGAATGTGGCAAAGTCTTTTGCAAGAGAATACATTTCAGGACACATCAGAGAACTCACGCAGGTGAGAAAACATAGAATGGAAAGAATGGAAGCATCTTTTGTGGCCAGTCACACCTCAGCAGGCAATGTATTGACAGAAGATGTTGTGGGAATATCATAAATCAGACATTGCCAGATGTCAGTGAAATAGAGGGGACACCTTGGAAGTGTAGTGTGAATAAAAACTTGCCAAAATTGACACATCTTCAAATGTAGAGGAAATGACAGAAGGGAGTAACTAGTCACAGACTGGCTATGTAGTCTTGAAATTCCCTCTTTTGGACAGTTTGTGTTCATAGCCTCCCCTTACTGAGCTCTACTTTCACATTTCACTTTTGGGAATAAACAAACCTTCAGTCCACAACAGCCACCTAGAAAATGTTATCTTCATAATTTGCTAAGTTATTTGGAATGACTGAGTTTTGTTTGTTTATTTTTTGTCTCTTCATGATTCTTTGTCACATTATTCTGGTACAGACCAGCTGTGTGACCCCAGGGGCATCACATGATTCGTACATCAGGCATATGCTGTACATCCAACCCAGTACGATGAGTGCTTCGTCAGGGTAGAGGCTCATGTCCAGTGACCTCTGAGGCCGTGATAACCAGAGTCTTGTTTGCATGTGAGACTGGGACTGCCTGTACCATCAGAAGTCTGTGTTTGTAGGGTGAGGTGTGGCTGCGGCAATGTCCGCAGTTCTCATCCAGCTTCCTGGGCTTGGTAGGCATTCCCTTCTCTGCTTTTCTTGCTGGCCACCCCCCTGGGCATCCCCAGATGCCAGTACCTTCAATATGAAGGCCAGACCTATTGCTATTCCCTTGACTGATAACCATCTTGTCATTCATCCTCCCCGTCCCATTTTACCCATCTGATTTCCACTTGCTGGTGTACTCGCCAGATCCTGACCTCCTGGCTTTTATTGTCCTAGCTACTAGTACCTGGCGTGAGTCATTCTCACATGGGCTCTGGCCATCCCCATCTGGAAAGACCTGCATGGTCGTGCATTGCTGTGCGGAAGACTCATTGTCCTGAGTTTCACGGCTGTGCACCTCTGCAGTTTACCTTCTCTTGACTGCTTTGCCTGCTGGGCTTCCCACAGCCTTCCTCCCACAGCATCCAGATGCACCATCTGGGACTGCCCTCTGCAGCACCTGTCCCCTGACCACACCCATGTCTTTCAGTGAGTGCTGGAAGAAGTCCAGGACAGTTTCTCAGTGGCCTTGATACAATAATCTGTGACCACCTGGCTTGCAGCCAAAGCCACTGACCCTTGCTAACCTCTGGCTTTTATCTGAGGTAGCATCCTGGGCTGACAATTTGGAACCTGGCTTTTTCTATGGAATAGTGCAGAGGGGTGTGTGCAGGTGAGCATGCTTTGGTTACTGTTACCCTCAGGGATATGTGTGAACCCCCACACCTGCCTCCTAGCCCACTGCCTGAGGATAGTTGCAATCCCTAGCTGACCTTGCGACCTTTAAGGCTAATGTGCTTTATATGTGGAGCAGGGGCTTTCAGAAGTGCACCTTTGAGGCTTGCTCTTGGCATGGGGGTCTGTGCAGAGACTCGTGCCCTAAGAGTCCGACACTGAGCTATCCTGGAGAGTTGGGTGAGGGTAGATTCTAGGTCATGGGCCTCGTTGGCATGCTGGCTTGTGAATGCATTCTCTCTGTTAAAGCCTTGTGCTCTTCCACTAACTCTCTTGTGAACAGTTTATTCTCTCCTAAAAATTCCATTATTAGTGATGTATGTTTCCTGTCAGCAGTGGTTCCAGAGGATCTGTGCTGTTGAGCCCACTGACGTCACCCCAGTGTCAGGTCTGAGCATCCCTGCAGCTGCTGCCATCCTTTTGTCCTTCCCTATGGCTACTTTGCAGAGTCGCTGAGCAGCCTGGTTTGTGAGCAGGCTTGGAGGTAGATGTGGGTGCCCTGTTAGTCGTTGCTGTTTGTTCCCTGCAGGCCTCTACAGGCACATGAGCCTGTTAGCAGTAAGTGAAGTTGCAGTGTACTGCCATGGGGTTCATCTCCCACAAGCTGCCATCCTTGACTTTTCTCCTGTACGTGGTGAGCACTGCTGAGTACCCCATGAAGGACAAGTGATGGGGATGAATAAGAAATGTGTAAAACTCTGGGTTCAAACAGTTCCTCCTTGAGGAGTGCACTTTGCCCATGGATTCCTGTTCACCACGTGCACTGGAACTTCACTGTGGAGTACTGATTCTGCTAACCTCTCAGATTCACTAAGACGTGTGAGCACCACATAAGGGAAGCAGGTATCCAGAGTGGGAGTGGACAAGGCCAAAAGCTAGTCCTAGGACAAATCACACTCTGTGATGGTAAGGCCAGTGATTTTCTGCAGCCAAACATAATCTGGGCACCAGGGCTCCAGGAATGTCAGCATCAACCGGAAGCCTTTTTTTTTTTTTTTGGACAGGCAGAGTGGACAGTGAGAGAGAGAAAGACAAAGGTCTTCCTTTGCTGTTGGTTCACCCTCCAATGGCCGCCACGCCTGTGTGCTGCAGCTGGCGTACTGCACTGATCCGAAGCCAGGAGCCAGGTGCTTCTCCTGGTCTCCCATGCAGGTGCAGGGCCCAAGCACTTGGGCCATCCTCCACTGCACTCCCTGGCCACAGCAGAGAGCTGGCCTGGAAGAGGGGCAACTGGGACAGAATCCGGTGCCCTGACCGGGTCTAGAACCCCGTGTGCTGGTGCTGCAGGCAGAGGATTAGCCTAGTGAGCCGCGGCACCGACCAGGAAGCTTGTTTATTTGCAAACTCTCCATGCCACCCCAGACCAACAACAGCAGAGTCTGCAATGGCAGGACTCCCAGGTGACCTGTATGTGGTGTGAAGTTTTCAGAAGCCACTGTTCTAGAACACATGTGGAGCTGTTTCATGTCTGTGGATAAAGATAGATTTTTCCTTGGCCTAAAGTTCCTCACATAGGAATAGTTTCCCAGAGTACCTGTTTTAGAGTAAATTTTTATCTGAGAACTGACAAGTGGTTTGTGAGTTTCATGGCAGCAAATGTTTATGAAGCATCCACTGTCCAAGACTGTGAGGCCGGAGGGGTGGTTGTTGGAACCCATTTTCCAGAATATAGAATAAAGCTGTTGTGTTGAAGCTGGTAAGCTGGTTTTTTGTTGTTGTTGTTGTTGTTTTTACAGGCAGAGTGGACAGTGAGAGACAGAGAGAGAGAAAGGTCTTCCTTTGCCGTTGGTTCACCCTCCAATGGCCGCCACGGCAGGCGCACAACGCTCATCCGATGGCAGGAGCCAGGTACTTATCCTGGTCTCCCATGGGGTGCAGGGCCCAAGTACTCGGGCCATCCTCCACTGCACTCCCTAGCCACAGAAGAGAGCTGGCCTGGAAGAGGGGCAACCAGGACAGAATTCGGCGCCCCGACCGGGACTAGAACCCCGTGTGCCAGCGCCGTAAGGCGGAGGATTAGCCTAGTGAGCTGCTGTGCCGGCCTGAAGCCATTTTTTTTAACTTTTATTTAATTAATATAAATTTCCAAAGTACAGAATATGGATTACAATGGCTTCCCCCCCATAACGTCCCTCCAACCCGCAACCCTCCCCTTATCCACTCCCTCTCCCCTTCCATTCACATCAAGATTCATTTTCGATTCTCTTTATCTACAGAAGATCAGTTTAGCATACATTAAGTAAAGATTTCAACAGTTTGCTCCCACACAGAAACATAAAGTGTAAAATACTGTTTGAGTACTAGTTATAGCATTAAATCTCAATGTACAGCACACTAAGGACAGAGATCCTACATGAGGAGTAAGTGCACAGTGACTCCTATTGTTGACTTAACAAATTGACACTCTTGTTTATGGCCTCAGTAATTTTTAAACTTCCTTAAATCAGAATGCGGTTCATGAAATTTCCTTCCAGTCTTTACCCCTAATCGATGTCGTTCTCCTGAGCTTAGAGGTGGATGGGCAGCTGAATCAGAACAGATCAAACACTCTTCCTGGTGTTTCTGGCTTGGAATATTTCTGCTGCTTCGCGAAAGAAACCTGGTTCTTATCATTAGAAACATCAGAATATCAGGCATGTTTTAAATAGCAGATTTTAGTTCACTCAGAAATGATAAAATCTGCTTCTAGCTGTTCTAATAAAAGAGGGATGCTTTCAACCCTAGCATTATGTAAATACTTATGAGTCAGTGTAAGAAAATACTTTTAGTTGGGCAACCCCGACTTTATGCTGCAGAGAAAAATCATCTAAACTTTTGAGTTACAGCAGGTTCAGCCATAACTTTGATTGCCTTCATCCAGTATCTTAGTGCTGATAAAGGCTAATGAGCACATGTATAGTTGCTTGTCAGGCTTCCTAGTAATTAAATTAGAATGGTCATCACTGTGCTTCCTGGGTAATCTGATGCAGCACGGTATCAGGAAACTCAGGGGAGGACCACCCAGAACCACAGGGAAGTGGCCTCTGTCATGCAAGTGATCATTTGGCAAAGGTTGAATTTTACACCTTTCCTGGGTGATTTTTCTTTCCTATTTAGGAAGAGATTCCTTTGCTTTTCAAAAACATACATTTCAATTTTAGCTCCACAGCCACTTTTGCAAGGGAGTCTGGACCTCCTACATGAAGCGCTTTTCACATTTGAACCATGTACGGAAAGTGTCAGTGGGACAGCTGTGAAAATGGGTAGTGATGACGAGAGTGCGGGGTAGAAACAAAGTCTTAGCAGAGTGTTCCATGGTGTGTGCTGGGAGGCGGCTGCAGTCTTTTGTTCCAGCACCCATCATTGTTCCTGAGTTAAGTTGTTGGTGCTCCTTCCCTTTTCACGTGTGCCTTGGGATAAAGTGTTTGGTGCTACTTCTGGCTGTGGTGTCTGTACTGCAAGAGCTCTGCAGATCTAGGATCCTGAGGTGCCGAGGATCCCGGAGCCCTGGGGCCTTTGTCTCTATAGCTATCTGAAGGTCATCCATGCTTGTGCTGTAGGGAGAGGGAACATAGAGTGCAGCCTGAGTGTGCTCTGTTGGCCTCTTCAGTTTTCACAAGGGCAGTGGTGCATTTTAGAACCAGTCTGTATTTCCACATGCAGCAAACATCCCAGTGCAGGACGCTCCTTCCCGTGAACTGCATGACAATCAAGAGGCCTGTCATTAGCCAGAAGGTGTTGAGGACTGGGATGAGATGCAGACTGACAAGTGAACGAGAAGCTGAAGTCACCCCAAAGGTGTGTAGATTAAAAGTTAGCTTGCATAGGCCGGCGCCGCAGCTCACTTGGCTAATCTTCCACCTGCAGCACCGGCACCCCAGGTTCTAGTCCCAGTTGGGGCGCCGGATTCTGTCCCGGTTGCCCCTCTTCCAGGCCAGCTCTCTGCTGTGGCCTGGGAGT